TGTTGACTAGAATTTCTTTAGCAGCCTACATCTTGAGTAAAATGCTTTTGTTGCCCTCAAAGTGCTTTTGGTAAACTCCTGTATAAAGATTTCACCACAATTTTAGGCAACACTGATAGGGTTAATTTAAATTGGTGAGTTTTAAGGCACATGTTTGTTTTAAAAAGTAATATCTACAAGGTTCAGGCCAGGGTTGCAGAGGCTTTAGTCCTTGTTGTGATCGTCACAAGTTCGAGTCACACCTCAAGACCTTCGTTGTGTGTCTTCCCAGTCTCTCTGGTCCCATTTCCTGTCTGACAACTTTTGAAAAGAGACAAAGATAAAGGGCAGTGGAGCCTAAAGAATCATTTAAAAATAAATAAATAATAAATTACTTTATTTTCCAGCCTGATGTCAATAAGGGAATCTGAATTCCTTATCTGAACCTAAAGGTACCCTCTTTTTTAAATAGGGGGTTATTTTTCAGTGGGCTCATCTTGGGCTTATCCAACTGTGGACATTGACATTGGTACCCCAGCAGAACTGACTTAATGTTAATAACATTCTAACCACTCCTAATTATTAGATGAAAGGCTGGACTTCTCCTGTTGTTACAGTAATTCTTTAAATAACTATCTTGCTGAAAACTTATTCCTGGACTACTGTAGTCACAGGTGGAAAACCCACCCTTGGATACGATTATTTGGTCAAAATAAATTATTTAACCCTAACCCAAACACCCACCCACCCATCCATCCATCCATCTTATGCGAGTTGCTTTATAACGTAACCTTTCAATATTTTAAACATATGACAATTCACATACATTTTTTGTAAATAGTCTTTGATAAATGACACTGATTCAAAGGACTGATAACATTTATGGTCATGTGACCTTAACAGGGTTCTTAATGTGATTTTCCCAACTTAGGAGGAAAACCATAAACAACAATCGAAATCAAAGATGCATGTAGAGGTTTCTTCCTGTTAAAAGGGAGTTTTTCCTCTCCACTGTCGCTACAAGCATGCTTAGTGTGAGGGATTGCATTTGAGTCAATGAGTGGATGCAATGAACTGGTTTTCCTTAGATAGAAAACTTTGAATCAATTTGACTGTATGATCTGGTTGAACTGTAAAGTGCCTTGAGATAACATGTGTTGTGAATTGGCCCTATATAAATAAACTGAATTGAATTGAATGTACGATGCAGATTCAATAATGACTTTAAATATTTAAGTTTATCATGTTCTGGACGATTGAGAATCTACAATGTGAGATGGTTAAAATTTGGATAGCAGTGGTCGGTCAGTGGTTCCAAACACGCTACAAAACTATTTGGAATTGACAAATCAGGCTTCTTCAGGGCTCTTCCAAAGCCCTGACCTTAAACCTATTAAAAGTTAGTAGAGCATTTGCATCGCAGGAATCTGAGCAAAAAATATGCCATTATAAGTCTGATGGCAAATAAAGGAGTGATTAAAGTAAAGCTATTTATTTGAAAGAATTTTATGTGGGGGGTTATTTTTTTATATTTATATTTGAGCTTTTATCTATGCTTTAAGTTGATAAATGTGAGTAACGCATTTAAATTTGTGCACCCATTTTACCCTGACATAAGAACGGCTCGGATGCAACATTAAAGACCAAAAGTGAATAAGACATGCATGCCCATACTGACTGTATGCAAACAGATATAAGAAATCACAGATATAAGAAAAGGTTTATATGGAAGAAAACATAAATAATTACATGACAAAACGCAGACATGCTGACAGAGGGCAAAGTCTCATTTTGGGCTCCATACTCTTTAGCAGTATGCCAAGAAGCATTGTTCAACATCGATCATCTCCTCTCTGTAAACGACCTCATTCTGCTACATGTGATTGGATGTTGCACATTACCGGACGGCTTCTTGCTGCTCATATGACTCAGCAGCCAGAGGTAAATTACATTCAGTGTGGACTGTTGTTGAATGCTAAAATCAAAGCACATAAGTGAACAAAGAGGAAAGGTTTTAAGTTCATGAAACAAGCAAACCTATGAGCAAATCTGCACATTTTAATTCCGTGACTGAACCAAAGGGAGAAAGTGCGAATGAAAATGTCAGAGGGAAGAAGTAGGCAGACGTGTTCAGAATACTTTACCCCGTCTAACATCACACTGTCATGGCTAATGCACACTGTGTGGCTTTAGGCTTAAAGTCTACATTAGCATTTCAAAAAGAACCTCAACTCCCATATGTCAAGGCAATCAATTACTAGATAAAACATGTTACTAAACCAAAACAAGAGCACTGCCCACCTGTGATCCAAGAGGGTAAACTAAAAGCACATGACAGGAAAACAAACAACAGAACTTAATGTGAACTTAATGCTAAATGCCACAATGTACTGTAGGCTATCTTTCTAAACAGAATTTAAAGCATTAGATAGAAGTTAATCTTTGAATCAGGGAATACTGAGCTCAAATGCAAACAAAAACAGGAAAAAAAAGAGAGGAAAAAGCACCCTTTACACAGCTTTAAAAAAAATTTGCCCTAGGTGACACGCATGCCCTTAGGTGACACAACAGATTATTTTTCTCTATTGTAATCTCTTCTGCATTATGTCACTCAAATCATTCATGGAGTCTCTCATAAACATGTCACTTTCCTTCTTTCTGACATGCAGTAAAAACAGAGTGGAGTTTTTGTGATTCAGAGCTTTGGAAAGCAGGACAGCATAAATTAATTGATTTAGTGCCCTTCAAATTCTGAACCAAAATATTTTGTTGCAATAGCTTTACTGTGCAAATAATGTCTCTGCACTGACACAGTGGGATAGTTGGCGGTGATCAAATTGTTGTTGGATTTACAAGCAACAGGACCAAACAACAGGAATTTATCCTCTTTTTAATTCAGGTGTGTCTATATTAATATTTGCAACCAAAGTGTTTAACACATTTTTAATTCACTCTAATCAATTCTTTTACTTGCAATATAAACATTTTGTTTTTCAAGCACTTCAATAGAGGCTCTATACATATACATCATACCATAAACAGGGTAAAAAGCAGAACTCTGTTTAGATCTGTCTAAAGTATGGTTGGGATGTACACTACTTAATATCAGCCAATTAATTCTATTGCTACGTTCACACTGCAGGCCTTGATGCTCAATTCCGATTTGTTTGTGAAATCAGATTTTTTTTTTGCGTTGCTGTTCATATTTCCAAACAAATGCGACTTGTATGTGATCTCCTGTGTGAACTGCAGTCATACAACGCAAGTGTCCCGCATGCGCAGTAAAGGATGTGATGACATCACGGGCCAGCGTGCTCATGGTAGTGCCGGCTTTTCCAACCATAAAAACTAATTGTTTTCAATATGTTTAAATATAATATCTACACTCCACATTATCATCTGCCATGGTTGTTGTTTTCCCTGCCGCTTCTGCGTGGCAAGATGCAGAATAGTGACCTTTGTCGGGTATTAATGGAATTCAGGTCGGATGTATCGGATTCAGGACCACATAGCCAAGTGGCCTGGGTCGGATTGGAAAAAAATTGGTTCTGTGTTGTTCAGACTGCCATGAAAAGATCAGATCCAGGTCGCATATGGGCAAAAAAATATCAGATTTGGGTCACTTCAGGCTGCAGTGTGAACGTAGCCTATGATATATTTCCGTTCAAAATCGTAACATCTCAACATCTGGCTTCCAACAACATTACTTTGATCTTCTTTCCTTGTTTTTTTATTTTTTATTTTTTTATTTTGCTGGTGGCATAGAACATTTTCAGGGAATGCAGGAAGCTGTATCAGTTTTTTAACGTGCTGGTTAACAGGTATGCAACTATTATCACTGCTTTAAGGAGAACATTTCCCAGATTATAGATACTACAAAAGCCCTACACTTAAAATCCAAAGCCAGATGATATATTTTTCAAACCAAGTGTCTGGATGAGGATAAATGAGAAAAAAGCGTTACTGGTGCTGAGCCAATATATGTCTTAATTCAGATATTTTTTCTGCTTTTATTTAACATCTCTTTGGTCATTTACATTTTAAAAATGCAAAAACTGCATTTTTAAAACAAATGACAGAGAACCTAACTGCTTCCCTAACGATGTAATCAAAAAATTTAAAAAAGATACTGGTTGATATAACTAAGATATTTTGAACATAAAATCATCTGGATCTTAATGATTGGATGTTGCTGCCACATGGAACTAAAACACTGCAGTTTTGAGTCAGTCAAGAGAAAAATTCTTCATTTTAATAATACTGATACTATATTTCTATTTCTAGAGTGAGTTACTAACAAATTTAATGTTATTAAAAAACACACACTTTTTTCCCTAATACTGCTATTAAAAAAAGGGCAATTTAAAAAACAGCGATTTAATTAAAATGCCTGTAATTACATTTTTCGAAATGTTTCAACAAAAAGATAATGACTTTTATCCCTACCTTTATTTAACAATTTTTGTGGCTTACATATATGTTGAAAATCCTTCCTATTTTCCGGACTTGATAGCCCTGCTTGCGTCTCCATGTATCCATTATAATCTGCTTTGTAAATCAATGGAAAACAGTAAATAAACAGTGAGAAAAGCCTCTAAAAAAAGGGGGGAGACAGCACTACTTAATGTTCCATTTGTGTTTGAAGGAGCACAAGAGGGAAATAAGATGAATGAGAGACAGATGAGTAAGTGTGACAAGAGAAGCCGGGACACAGGGGTGGGAAATGCATTCGATCACAGGTGTAAGTAAAAACCGCACCTGTGTTTGAACGCCTGCACACACCAGCGTGCACGGACGCACCAGTCCTCCAGGCCCTATCTATCCACACAGATATATTCTCTGAGCTGCTTCTGTGCACTGATCATCAGTCAAGACTGAATTCACTTGTTTGCTTCTCAGCAACTTGGGCATGTTTGATATTCTGCAGCGCGTGCAGAGGTGTTTGCTTTCAGACATCTGTCCATCCTTTCAGGTGTCTCTGCACCACATGTGTGTCTTGCGACGACAGGACGTGCACTCACCTGTCTGGGGATCGACGGAGAAGTACTGCTGGCCCTGCACCAGTGTGTACACAAGCTTGGCGCTGTTCCCATATGTTGGGTCATCAGCATCTGTCGCTGTCACCTGGATTATGGACGTGCCTGCAGGGGAGGACGGACGAGAAGAGACAAGGACAGGAAACGTTATGAAAGAGGGAAAAAAGATAAATAAGCACATGGGAAAAATAAAAAACAGAGACCAAACTACAACAGCACTTTAAGAGCATACAAAGCTTAATGTGAGAATAACCTCCAGTGTTCTCTCTGCTTCTTTTTTCAATCTCTTTTCAACAGCAGTGTGACAAATAGTTTATTTGCCCCGCCACACACATCCTCGTCGTCACCCTCCTCTCTCCTGCCAGTCACCTACCTCCCCTTCCCAGCCCCTCCATTCTCTCTGTCTCACTTCATTTCTCTTCATCTCCGTCTCCAATTCCCTCTTGCTCCCTCTCTCAATCAGACCGTCTGTCTCTTCAACTGGCCTCCTTCTCATTCTCTTAAATCTTTTTTCCATGGATCACGGACTGTCAATTTGACAGGATATCTTTTTTTAAATTGTAAGCAAAAATAAGAATATATGAATATATGAATGCCAGTAACCAAAGCCCATTTGTTGTCTATTTGTATAGAATTTGTGTGTAGAAAAAGGACAGACAGAAGGAATATTTTCAGGGGAAAACTAAAGTCAAAATGAGGTGGATGGTGGCAGCTGGTTGTTTAGTACTGATCAAAACCCAGACAGATCCACACTGGAGACAATTAGGAGCACATTTTTACCAGTCAAATTTGTGGAAAGAAGAATGAGGGCTATAAGATCTGCTTATTCAATTTAATTCAATTTAAAAATACTTAATTAATCCCAAAGGGAAAATACATCTTAAACTATAGGGGAAGGTGTTTAATGCACTGTACTGAAAAAGTTGTTAACATGTAAGTAAATGATGGACATCTTTGCCATATAAAGTGGATTAACGTTATACATTCTTAATAAAAAAAAAATGTTTTAAAAGCTTGAATTTCTAAGTCATTATTTCTGTGGGACTGAGTCACAGCCATAAGTCATACTGAAGTGACAGCCTTTCTTTACTTAAAGAGCCCTCTTGTATGTTTGATTATGCAAATTATTTAAAAGTAGCTTTGCAACTGATGTCACTTAAATTCTGTGGAGGCAACATTGAAAAGGCAAATTGTGTTTTAGCTGAAGAGATTGTTGCACTGGCTCCCAGTTGTTTTTAGAATAGATTTTAAAATGTTATTGTTTGTTTTTAAAGCTCTTAATGGTCTAGCCCCCCAGTATTTGACAGGGCTTCTTCAAATCCATGCCCTGGTCAGAACACTGAGATCCTCTAATCAGTTGCTACTGGTCATACCTAAAACCAGACTTAAAACCAAAGGTGATCGCATATTCGATAGGCAGGCACCTTTGAGGTTTTTTAAATCCTCCGTAAAAGCACACTTCTTCTCCCTGGCTTTTAATAAAGTCTAAGTGGACATTTGGCAAAATCTTATTTAAAATGTTATTTTATTTTAAAATTTATTTTATTTAAATTGAAACATTTATCCTATTATATTTTATCTCCATTCAATTTTTCTATTTGCATTGTGTTTATGTATTTTAACTTTCAGTTTTTATCTTATGCTCTGCAACTGTGATTTCTGTACAGCATGTTGGTCAACCCTGGTTGTTTTAAATGTGCTTTATAAATAAAGTTTGAGTTGAGTAGAGTTGAGATGAAGCAGAATAAATCAAATTGGGCATCCACCTCTACTGGAAAGGGATTCAGAGCAAAACAGAGTTGTTTTTAGTCCTTTAAGTCATTTTATGTGGAAACAGAAAAATATCAACATTTCCTTGAGAAACCAAAATACCTTTCAAATTTAGTTATGCTAGTATATTACTGTATATACAAGGGTAGTGTTATCACAAAATCTAAAGTGAACACAGTGACAGGAGTTTTTATAAGCGGGAGGCTTACATCAGAGCTGATGGCTGTGAAACAAAACCAATAAGAACTAAAATAAACCTGAGTCAAGCTGCTGTCATACTGTTAATTTTTTTTTGCCACATATGTTGGCTTAACC